TGGGAATGCAAGTTGGTACAGCCACTTTGGAAAACAATGTGGAGGTTCCTCAAAAAATTAAAAATAGAGCTACCCTATGACCCAGTAATTGCACTACTGGGTATTTACCCCAAAGACACAGATGTAGTGAAAAGAACGGCCATATGCACCCCAACCTTCATAACAGCAATGTCCACAATAGCCAAACTGTGGAAAGAGCTGAGATGCCCTTCAACAGATGAATGGATAAAGAAGATGTGGTCCATATATACAATGGAATATTACTCAGCCATCAGAAAAGATGAATACCCAACTTTTACATCAACATGGATGGGACTGGAGGAGATTATGCTAAGTGAAATAAGTCAAGCAGAGAAAGTCAATTATCATATGGTTTCACTTATTTGTGGAACATAAGGAATAGCATGGGGGACATTAGGAGAAGGAAGAGAAAAATGAAGGGGGGGAAATCGGAGGGGGAGACAAACCATGAGAGACTATGGATTCCGAGAAACAAACTGAGGGTTTTAGAGGGAAGGGGGGTGGGGGGATGGGTTAGCCCAGTGATGGGTATTAAGGAGGGCACATACTGCATGGAGCACTGGGTGTTATAGGCAAACAATGAATCATGGAACACTACATCAAAAACTAATGATGTACTGTATGGTGACTAACATAACATAATAAAATAAAAAACAATGAAAATGCAAAAATAAGTAAATAAATATTTCTAGCATATATTAAAAGAAAAAGTAAAATAAATAAAAAATAAAACAACAACAAAAAAAGAAAAATAAATAAATAACACATGGGTCACCTGAGACAACACAGAGAAAATCAGGAAATATTTCAAACAGGATGATCAAAATACAACATAACAAAATATGTGGGATATAGATAAAACCATGTTTAGAAATAAATTTATAGCTTCAAAGCTTATCTTGGAAAAGGTAGGTAAAGGGGGCCTGGGTGGCTCAGTCGGTTAAGCGTCTGTCTGCTCAGGTCATGATTCTGGAGTCCCCGGATCAAGCCCTACGTTGGGCTCCCTGCTTAGCGGGGAGTCTGCTTCTCCCTCTCTCTCTGCTTCTCCCCCTGCCCCCACCCGCTCGTGCTCTTTCCCTCTCAAATAAAATCTTTAAAAAAAGAAAAGGTAGGTAAAGTTCCATCATAAGCTAGAAAAAGCAAAGTAATGTATACTACAAAGTCAAAAATTGGTTCTTTGAAAAAGTTTAACAAAATGGCCAAACCCCTAGATAGACTAAGTAAGAAAAAAAACAAGATAGAGCTGTAATTCACCAATGTTAGGGCGAAAAGGTGATTTCAGATTCTACAGATTCTAGACGGTGAAAGGATAATAATGGAATATTATGAGCAACTTTTTGTCAATAGATTCAATAATTTAGATGAAATGGGAAAATTCCTAAAAAAACACAACTTACCAAAATTCACACAAGATAAAACATAAACTCTGAATACCTGTGTATTTATCAAAGAAACTAAATTACCAAAACCTTCCCACAAAGAAAACTGCAGGCCCAGATAGTTATATTGTTGAATTCTATCAAAATATTCAGAAAGAAAGAACAGTAATCTTACACTCTTTCTGAAAATAAAGGAGAAAAATCTCCCTGATTCATTTTATGAGAACAGTATAGTCTGATACAAAACCTGAAAAGATATTACAAAAACGAAAATTATTGACCATTATCCCTTAATATTTAATAAAATGTTAGTAAATAAAATCTAGCAATATATAAAAAGCCTAATAATACATTATTACAAAGCTGGGTTTATTTCAGGACAATAAGGGATAATCCTATCCCTTAATATGGTAATCCATCATATTAACAAAATAAAGGAGAAAAGTCATATAATCATTTATATATATATATATATATATATATATACACACACACACACATAGGGAAAGTATCTGATAAAACTCAATAGCCACTGATGATAAAAACCTTTTTTTAAATTAGGAAGGGAAAGGAATTTCCTTAATCTGATAATGAGCATCTACAGTCTAATATCCAACTCAACGATGAAATATTGAATGCTTTCCCCCTAAAATTTGGAAGAAGTCAAGGATCAAGGATGCCTTCTCTTACTACTTGTATTCAACATCATACTGGTGGATAAGTGCAACAAGGCAAGAAAAAGGGCATAAATCTCAAAAAAGAAGAGGTGAAACTATCTCTGTTTGCAGGTGACAACTGCTTACACAGAGAAACCTAATGGATCTATGAAACAACTAGAAGAGTAAGTGAATTTTAGCAAGATTGCAGAATACAAGATCGATATACAAAAATCATTGTATTTTAATAACAGCAGCAAATAATTGGAAAATGAAATAAAATTCCATTTATAATAGCATCAAAACCATAACATACTTAAGCATAAATTTCTAAAAATATGTATACTTAATACTACAAAACCACTGCTGAGAAAAATCTAAGAAGATCTAAAAAAATGGATATAATATGCTCATGAATTGAAAGACTCAATATCACTAATATGTCAATTCTCTCCAAATTAATATATAGTCAATGTTATTGTAATCACAATCCCACCTCTTTTTTTAAAAAAGAGTTTATTTATTAGAGAGAGAGTGAGAGAGAGCGAGCATGAGTTGTAGGGGAGAGGCAGAGGGAGAGAGAGAAGCAGACTCCCAACTGAGCAAGAAGTCCAACATGGGCTTGATCCCAGGACCCCAAGATCATGGCCTGAGTTGAAGGTAGATGCTTAACCGACTGAGCCACCCAGGCACCCCAATCCCACCTCCTTTTTACATAGAAAGTGACAAGCTGATTCTAAAATTTATGTGGAAATACCAAGGGCCTAAAATATCTAAAGCCATCTTGAAAAAGAAGAATGAAGTTGAGAGATTTATAATACCTGACACTTCAAGACTTTCTATAAAGCTATAGTAATCAGACTGAGTATGGGTATAGACATTATAGATAAGTGTAACAGAATAGAGAGCTCATAAACAGATCTACACTTAAAAGGTAATTTGATTTCTGATAAAGGTGCCAAAGCAAACCAATGGAGGGCTTTTTATACAAATGGTGCTGGTTCAACTGGATATCTATGTGGAACACTCTACTTCACACCATATATAGAAATTAATTTGAGATGGATCATATAAGAAGTGTAAGAACTAAAGCTCTAAAGCTTGTAGGAGAAAATATAGTAGACTATCTACACAGTTTGGGGGTAAAGGTTTTATTAGGACCAGAAAGTAATAATAAAAAAATAAAAATTCAATAAATTAGACTTTAATTAGACAAAATTAAAGAAAACTTCTGCAAATGAAAAAGATACCATTAAAGAAAGTGAATGGGCAAGTCACAGTCTAGAAAAATATTCACAATATATGTATCTGATAAAGGACTAGTATCCTAGAATGTATCAAGAACTTCAACAAGTGAATAAGTCAAGCACCCTGATAAAAATGGGCAAAAGACTTGAATAGACACTTCACCAAAGAAGATATCTGAATGACAAGAACACAAAAGAGCTGCTCAATAGCAGAAGTCATCAAGGAAATACAAAAGAAAAACACAATGAGATGTCTTTATATACACTCCAGAATACTGTCAACTGTGGACAAGAATGTGGAACAACATGAACTGTTGTCACTGCTGATGGGAATGTAAAAAGATACACTGTGAAAAAGGGACTGACAGTTTTTTATAAACTAAATACCTTCCTCTGGACCCAGCAATTCACTCCTAGTAATTTATTCAAGAGAAATGGCAATACATGTCCTCAAAAAGACTAACACAAGAATATTCAGCTTTATTCAAGATAGCCAGTAACTGGAAACAGATGAGGTGACCAATGAAGAATGGATAAACAAATTGTGGAGTATTCATACAACAAATTACGACTCAAAAAAGGAACAAACTATTCTACACATGACAACATGGATGGATCTCAAAAACATGCTGAGAAACTTTAAAAGATTATACACTGGATGATTCCATTTGTAAGAAGTTCTAAAACAAACAAAATCAATCTATGGTGGAAAAACACACAAATTAAGGTTGTCTCCACGCATGGGCGCAGAAACAGAATATGAAGGGGCACAAGCGAACTTTAAACAAATATTGAACTTCAGTTAGTATTCATGCTGAAGTATTTAGACGTGCTTATGTCTACAACCTACTCTGAGCACATCAAAAAATAAGAGAGATTGATAGAGGGATGAACATATACACAGATGTATTATCTGGGAAATACAGAAAAATTTTCAAGTGCATATATGGATGTTCTCTGAATAATTATTTCAACTGTTCTCAATGTTTGAAATTTTTCGTAGTAAAATGCTGGGGGAAAAATGTTTTTACTTCCCCTGTTCTCTCACACTGAATTTGTAGGAAGTAAGCCAATAGGGGGTGCTGGTCTGAGCCATGATTTTATCTAAAAAACAAAGCAAAAAACCAGGTAACACAAGAAATGAAACAACTACTGCTTCCCACCAAAGAATGAATTGAAATGCATACTGGCTTTAGCTGCACATTCAATATGTCATGATTCTGGCTCCAATGAGAGAAGTTCCAAAGTTTCTAAAGAACTGCCTTGCCTTCACCTGGGTGGCTCAGTCATTAAGGATCGGCCTTCGGTTCAGGTCACGATCCCAGGGTCCTGGGATGGAGCCCCGCATCGGGTTCCCTGATCGGCTGGAAGCCTGCTTCTCCCTCTCCCACTCCCCTTGCTTGTGTCCCCCTCTCTCGCTGTCCCTCTCTCTCTGTCAAATAAATAAATAAAATCTTTAAAAAAAAAAAAAGAACTGCCTTGCCTTGACTACAGCCTTTGCAAAGCACAAGAAAATACATTTGCTGAACTTGGTCTCTCCAGGTGAAATGCAAGGCTCATGCAATGACAACAAAATGAAACAAATCAAAAACAATGTCAAGAAAAACTCACATATTACTGTTAAGGAGGGGTAGTCACCTAATAGATTACAGATTCAATGTTCATACCCTCAAGAAAACATTTTTGGGTCTCATTACCTTTATCAAGAGATGCCCCGGCCATATGGTAAAAGCTTAATGCAGTGTCCACATCATTAATATTCTTTAGGAAAGTAAAGAAGTTCTCCACTTCCTGAAACGTCAGACCCTGAAAGAAGAGAGACAGCAAGATAAGGCAGGAACCTGTAACAAAAAGCAGCACAAAATACAGAGAAGTAGGTAGTTATTCATGTCTATAAATCAGAAATTTATGCTATGTTTAGAACAGAAACTGAATAAATTCGTCAAGGAATGCCAAATTTGTATACAACAAGGGAACACAACTCTAGAATTTTACCCTGAGAAAGGCAAGCTGGCTAATTGCTTTCCCCTCCCATGTAAAAATCTGACATGAAGCTGTTTACAGTGATGTACAGAGAGAGAGAGACAGCGAGAGAGGGAACACAAGCAGGGGCAGAGGGAGAGGGAGAAGCAGGCTTCCTGCTGAACAGGGAGCCAATATGGGGCTCGATCCCAGGACTCTGGGATCATGACCTGAGCTGAAGGCAGATGCTTAATGACTGAGCCACCTAGGCGCCCCTAATAAAAATACTTCTAACAATTAGTCACAGTATCTATTATGACATTTCCTAAACGAGCTTTTAGCTTCTTGATCTGTTACATGTTATACATCTTAACAAACTGGACTGGAGTCAGGACTTCCATTTTAATAATCTACCCTTATGCCAGCTAAGCTTTTTGAGGCTTAAGTTAATTAAAAAATCACCAAGTCAGTGAGACAGGGGAATGGTTTGAGAATTTAGCAGAACCTAAGCACTTGGGAAGCTGTTCATTATGTCAATCTAAAAGCTACTAATGAAGCAATTTGCCACTTAACTTTAATCGGATGAAATTCCCTGAATGAAGAAGCTCTTTTTAAAACTGCTCCTATGATATGCTGATCTCTGATCTGACTTTCTCTGATGGCTCAAGAGAGAGTAGTTGTATAACTAGGGGCAAGGGAGTCTCCTTACGGGGTAGAGGATTTGTCCTATTTGACTATTTCCCACTTGTCACACATCACGCTGTGATGGAAATGAATACAATTTCTAAGAAATTGTGTAACACTGGGGAGAAGCTGAGCTGAATGACTTAATGAAGCATCAGGTCCTTAACATTGCCGATGTTGACTGGCCTCTACTGAGTGTTGCCCCTCTTCCAATTTCCATTTCCCCAAACTAGGGAGCCCTGGAATCCACATGGGGTACCCACTAATAAGGAAACTTCAATACTGACAATATATAGTTCTTTCCTGGTACTCTCCAAACTGGGTCAATGGTATCTTTCTCATTTAATCAATCAAACTAAGAGCTAAAATACTGTATGTATAATTATGTCACACGATCTTATAATTTTCCCTAGAATAATAGAAGTTAAAAAACTTTTTATTGTGGAATATGATGACCATATAGAAAGTTGCATAAAACATAAATGTACAACAAACTGCTATAAAATGAACACCCATAGAACCTCCACTGAGGTCAAGGAACAGACTATTTTCAGCATCCCTGAAGTCTTCGTCTCTCCCCTCAACATGTTCCATCTCAGTCATAAGCCCTTTTACCCGGTGTTAATCACTATTCTGACTCTTAGTGGATTCATTTCCTTCCTTGCCTTTTTAAAAAATTGTGTTACTATCGGGGCACCTGGGTGGCTCAGTCGGTTAAGCATCTGCCTTTGGCTCAGGTCAGGATCCCAGGGTCCTGGGATTGAGCCCCGCATCAGGCTCCCTGCTGAGCAGGGAGCCTTCTTCTCCCTCGCTGCTCACCCTGCTTGTGCTCTTTCTCTCTGTCAAATCAATAAATAAAATCTTTAAAAAATAAAAATACTAAAAATAGTGTTACTATCTGTCTATGCAGCCTCAAACAGAAACAGTTCAATTATGCTTGTTTTGAACTTTATAAATGGAATCATGCAGTATGCATTCTATTATATATGGCTTCTCTTTTTAGTATTTGTCTATGCTTTGTATTCTGTAGTTAGCTCATTTTTATTGCTATTAGTATTCTGTAGTGTGAATATACCACAATTTTTTTAATCCATTCTATTTGGGCTGTTTCCAGTTTTTGGCAATTATGCACAGTGGTGTTTAGGTATGCATCCAAACATTTATGGACTATCTACTATGTACCAAGTTCCATAATTTTTGTCAGTGAACTGAAAGGCTTATAGAAAATAATTTTTCCCTAACTTGAGGCCATTCTCTAGGCTTTGTCTTATTAGAGCATCCAGATATAGGACTTATTCCTTATATGAATGCCTTAGTACACTATCTAATGTAAACACTAGGCTAGAATCAACCTTTGAGAGGAGAATTCTACTGGGCCAGAAGTACAGGGTCTACAATAACACCAGCTTGGGGATGGGACACTAATACCATCTTCTCTTCCCTTCCACCAAAGGACATGCAGCGGCTGAAACAATCTAGGGTCCACTGATGGATGAATGTATAAACAAAGTGGAATATGATTCAGCCTTTATTTTCTTTTTTTTCAAGATTTATTTTTTATTTTTTATTTATTTGACAGAGAGAGACACAGCGAGAGAGGGAACACAAGCAGGGGGAGTGGGAGAGGGAGAAGTAGCCCCCCCCCCAGGACCCTGCGATCATGACCTGAGCCGAAGGCAGACGCTTAACGACTGAGCCACCCAGGAGCCCCATGATTCACCCTTTAAAAGGAAGGAAATTCTGACATAAGCTACAGTATGGATGAACCTTGAAGACATTATGCCAAGTGAAACAAGCCAGTCACAAAAGGTCAAATACTATATGATTCCACTTATATGAGGTACCTAGATTATTTAAGTTTATAGAGATAGAAAGTAGAATGGTGGTTGCCAGGGCTGGGGGGAAGGAGGAATGGGGACTTTTTTTTTTTTTAAAGTAAGCTCTATGCCTAGCATGGGGCTTGAACTCACAACCCTGAGATCCAGAATTGCATGTTCTATGGACTGAGCCAGCCAGGTGCCCCAGGAATTGTTGTTTAACGGGTACAGAGTTTCAGTTTGGGAAAATGGATGGTGGTGATGGTTGTACACAGTATGAATGTACTTAATGCCACTGAACTATACATTTAAAAATGGTTAACATAAAGTTCCTAAAACAAAGCACATGGTACAGGAAATGTTACCCACTCTGACAAACAAGCTCTAATGTTTGCTAGTAAATTTATGGTGAAACATCACATACAACAGGCCAGAGTACTCATGCTGAGAATTATTTCAGGACAGAGAGAAAATCTTAATTGAATGGCTATTCATTTGATGACTCAGAAAAACAGTGGGATACAAATTACATTAATGCCATTATTAAATTGAAATATGTAACATTTTACCTTTTATTATATAGATATAATAAAAATATTTATTGAGCACCTACTAACAACTCAGCACTATGCTAGGAACAGTGAGGGAAATAAAATTGCTTTGGACATGGGCCTTGGACATTTTATAGAGCTTACAATTTAGATAGGTCTCCTTAAAGAAAGGATGCCAGTCACAAAGTTATTATTCCTATTCTTATTCCTTTGTAACTACCTCAGTAAAAAAATCCAGAGGGATTTTTATCAAGAAAGCTATAATAAGACTATAACATGAGGTCTGTGGATGGAAAGTGAGAGGATGTGCTTTCTGCAAGTGGAGGTGTTCAGACTGGAAGGCATTAGCTGTGCACAGCCATGGGCAGGTGACCTGACCTGCAGAATAGTAGTCAAAAGGAAATAATCTTTCCTTAAGCATGGTGTCAAAGGGAATTTCTTGACACACTATGGGGAAGTGGAAGAAGGAGGAGTTATTTTATCCTGTGGCCAACTATTCAACAAACTGGTTATCTAGCTACCTTGGGAAAGATGGACTTATATGAAACTGGGCTCTGGGCTCTAGGTGACTAACAAAAGAAGATAAAGTTAATATAATTTGTGGACAGTAGAAACACTTTTTTTTTTAAGATTTTATTTATTCATTCGAGATACAGAGAGAGAGAGAGCATGAGCAGGGGGAGAGGCAGAGGGAGAGGGAGAGGCAGGCTCCTTGCTGAGCCAGGAGCCGGATGCGGGGCTGGATCCCAGGACGCTGGGATCATGACCTGAGCTGAAGGCAGACGCTTAACCATCTGAGCCACCCAGGTGCCCCAAGAAACACTTCTTTATGTTTATTAAAACATGAAACTAACATTATGAATTTGTTAAACAAGCAAATAGAATTGTCTTTTTTTATTAAGATTTTATTTATTTATTTGAGAGAGAGAGAGCAAGAGAAAGAGCAATGAGCAGGAAGAGGGACAAAGGGAGAGGGAGAAGTAGTCTCCCTGCTGAGCAGGGAGCCTGTCGGATGCAGGGCTCAATTCCAGGACCCCGGGATCATGACCTGGGCCAAGGCAGATGCTTAATCGACTAAGCCACCCAGGTGCCCCTAGAATTGTTTTTCCAAACTAAAAGCAATTGATAAAATGTTTAGAAGAAAACATAAAAAAATCTTTTTTTTTTTAAAGATTTTATTTATTTATTTGACAGAGAGAGACAAAGCGAGAGAGGGAACACAAGTAGGGGGAGTGGGAGAGGGAGAAGCAGGCTCCTTGCTGCGCAGGAAGCCCGATGCAGGGCTCGATCCCAGGACCCCAGGATCATGACCTGAGCGGAAGGCAAATGCTTAACGACTGAGCCACCCAGGTGCCCCCATAAAAAATCTTTTTAACCTCGAGTAAGACAAAGAGTTCTTAGATATGACACCAAAAGCACAATCCATAAAAGAAAAAAACTGATAAATTAAATTTCATCAAAATTAAAACCTTTTGTGCTTCAAAATACTGAGAGAACAGGGGCACCTGGGTGGCTCAGTCAGTTAAGCTGCTGACTCTTGATTTCCGCTCAGGTCATGATCTCGGGGTCCTGGGATCAAACCCCACATTGGGCTCTGCACTCAGGGGGGAGTCTGCTTCAGGATTCTCTCTCCCCTCCCCGCCCCTCCCCTTGTTTGTTCTCGCTCTCTAAAATAAATAAATTAATCTTAAAAAAAATACCGAGAGAACAGACAAAACACAGACTGGGAGAAATATTTAAAAATCATATATCTGATAAAGGATTTGTATCCAGAACTATGTAAAGAACTCTTACAACTCAATAATGAGAAAAACCCCCCACAATTTA